TCCTCCCCCCCCCCATCAACACTGGCAAAAAGCGTGAATAAAACTGAGAATTACCGTTTTAAATCCTCCCTCCAGTGCCATAAAAGCGAACGCCCCAAGTAGTGTATACCCAAAAACAAGTACACAAACACCAAGACAGGCTAGAAATCCAGGTGCTTTAGCATTTCTGGCATTAGCACAATTGCAACAGCAACACCACAATTCCGATGCTTTAACTGTTGTCGATATTCTGAACGTTGAATTATCCTTGGTACAATTTGTTGTATTGGTCCCAGTGACACTTGTTACCGTAGATGATACACCAGCCAGCTGATTTGTCCGTCGGTCCATGGAGGATCTTGTACCTCTATGATAGTAATCACTGTTGCTTATTTGCATTGTTCCATGGGGATTAGTATCAGATTAACGTGTTTAATTTCATTGGAATGGTCATCCGGCGGGCATAATCCTCAATCGTTGGTGTCTGTGATTGGCAGGATAATGGACACAGTAATATCGCCGATGACATGATGATGATAAAATTAATTCAATTGATGGCTTTGGCGTGATTCGAGGCTCTGATTCCATGTAGATTATGTCAATCTTCAATTGATAAAAAATCATGGGAAGCATTTTTTAATGGGGTTTTTGGATGAGATTTTTTTAAGAGAATGTGGATTTGTGTGTTTGTTATTATTGTTATTGAATGTGAAAATTAGAAAATGAGGAAATTTTATTAGATTTGGAAGAAGAAAAATCATGACAGTTCAAGTTTTAGTGCAAACTCAATAGAATTCAATATTTTTGGACCGTTGGGAAAAGAGGATTCCGTGAATTAATTGAGTTTTCAATAAAATATGGATATTCGGTAGGAATTCACGATAAATATTCGGTTAATTGAAAATTTAGGAATATATTTACCCTGTTTTCCAGATTTATTTAATTTTCGGGGAATGATTGAACTAAAGTGTGTGATTTTTACTGATTTTTCCATAAATTTATAAATTTTTAAGGGCTTCATTTTAATTATAATTCACGTACAGATTTTCTCTTCGTCGTGATCTAGTATCATCCAGTGGTTTTTTGCGCGAATATACAGTATTCTATCCACGTATTAACGTATTTATTTTTATCACCGAACATAAAAATTAAAAAATTGTCGTTAAATGAGAAATAAAGTTGGAGAATAGTTTTTTCACATTCTGAATTTTTATATGATGAAATGACGCCGATAGAATAATATCAAGTCCCTTCATTCTAAAAAAATTATAAAAAATCATTTTGCAATTTTGATGAAACCACTGAATTTCTCCGATAAAATTGAGCCGATTGCGATTGAATTTCCCATAAATTTCTAATTTTTTAATACCGATATGATTGAAATTTCCAAGAATTGTCCCCGAAATTTCTGCCAAAAATTTTTAATAGCGTTTTTTAAAAATTTTAATTAACTGAATTGAAAAAAAAAAATTGTTAAACGATAGGTAAAGTTGGAGAATACTTCGTTTCACGTTTTTAGAAATACAATATCGTGGATAGAATAACATAAATTCCCGTCATTCTAAAAAAATTGAAAAATAATTTTTAAATTTCGATAAAACCACTGAATTTCCCCGATAAAATTGAGTCGAGTGAGATTGGGTTGAGGGCTGATTATAGTAGAGTGAAATACACGGTGGGACATTTGTTATTTGAAAGAAAATGAAAAGAACAGAAAATACGAGGCCGAGACCCTATCTCGAGTAGTGCACAATGGGTAAGTGGTTGAGGGTGAAACGCCCGAGTGCAAGTGAGAGAGAAAGAGAGAGAGTGAGAGCGAAAAATAGTGGGATGAGGGGGAAAAGAAGAGAGTCAAGGAGTCAGGGTATATTTATTCGCAATACAAGTGGCTAGGAGGAGAGTCACGGTTGGCGTCAGACGGCACAGTGGTACCTTACCCCCGGGTACCAGTGGAATCGATAGCCCAACGGGTATATGAGAGAAAACTACAGTGAAATGGGGCTGGCAGGGAGGAGAGACAGAGGGATGATGCACCCAAGGTGACAACACCAAAGTGGTGGAGAGGGTGGTGGGACTGAAGAAAGCTGTGCTGAGGCTTGCGGAGAGTGTCTTCTACACGTCTCCATTCCACTCACTCAATTTTCCAATACCGAGATGACTCGGAAGAGAAGAAAAAAAAAAATTGAAGAGAACAAGAAAGTGAAGATGAAGAGGAGGAGAAAAAAAGCAGAAATTCGAGGAAGATCGGGGGTCAGATGTCGTGAGATGGGATAAATAAACGAAAGTTGAGAGAAATCCGAAGGGCAAATGCTCTTGGCGCCTCTGTCCACATTCATCACTCGTCCAAAAAGCCAGGAAAGAGAGAGATAGAGAGAGAGAGAGAAAAAAAACGAAGGGGTGAAGAAGTACACGAGGAAGTACCAGAAAGAAGAGAAAACGGCAAAAGTGGCACTTAACAACTCCCCGGAATTTGGCCTTCGGGCTAAAGCCAACCCCTTGAAGATTATCACAGTCTATTCGCATGCCTAAACCACATACACCCGTGAGACCATATAAACGAGCAACCGTTTCATCATGCCTGTCCAATAGACTTTCCAAATTCCCTCTCCATGCCCTCTATCCATGTTTCATATCTCCACCAAGGTCCTCGGAATTAAGTGGTGATCACGCGGTCATTATAATTACACGATGTAATTATCGACAAATTCAGCGCGTTCATCACGAAACGTGATGTGAGTGTTTTTTTGTTGGAGAATGAGAAAAAAAATAGTGATCAATTCATGAATAAATTCAATTCATCAGATATACGTACGATTTACTCGTTGATATTCATCGCTCGTGGATTTTGTGATGAAATAAAATCAAAGAAAAATAAAACTCCCGGACATGGAACTCTTTTCACCCCATTTTATGAGTTTAAAATCCGCGGAAAACTCGATCATGAGGGGCACAATTGGAGTAAGAACTTAGGTGAAATGTAATTTACATTCGGAATGTGGTACACCAGGTGTATTTGTCACCGTTGA